GGTTACGAGAAAGGTTATGCTTATATAGCTAGCTCTTTTTTATAGCTTAAGAAATAATTATAAGGGGCAGCTAGGTGGTGCAGTGGATAGAGCACCAGCCCTGAAGTCAGGAGGACCTGAGTTCAAATCTGCCCTCAGACCAAACACTTGACAATTACTAACTGTGTGACCCTGGGCAAGTCACTTAACCCCAATTGCCTAAAAAATTTTTAAAAAAGAAATAATTATGAAGAGCAAATTGGATTTGGGGGGAGGAGCTTATAGATTCTACAGATCTAAGTTCTCCCCCAGCCCCTATCCCTTGGGGAGGATCTCTCTCTTCATCTTCCCTTTGAGCTGGAACCCCAGTACTTCCTGAGCTCCAGAGGCAGAGGACAAAGAACTAAAAATAGCTCCCTATTCTTTTTCTAGCTAAAGATTGCAAAGGAATCCAATGTATTTTGTCATTTGAGCCTTCTAATACCCCTGAGAGATAGGCACTATGATTATCCCCATTTTACAGTTGAGGAAAATGAGGGTCAGAGAGGGTGGATAACTTGTCCAGAGTCACACAGCCAATAACTGTCAGTAATAGGATTTGAAGTTGGATCTTCCTGATTCTACTCCCTGCCCTCCATCCACTCTGCCCTGCTGCTTCTTTACCACCCAACGTGGCCAGGCAAGAAACGTGTCTCAAGCACCTACTGTGTGCCAGGCAGAGGGGATACAAAGAAAGGCAAAAACAGCCCCTGCCCTCAGGGAGCTTACAAGCTAAGGGGGAGACAAAGGTATATCCAGGGTGAGTGGAAGGCACTAGCAGTGGGGGAGGGGGACCCTACAGCACAAGGCCACCCCAACATAGACACATTTACACAGAGCTAAAGGTCAGGGGACTGGAGGGGACGGGAACATCCCAGGGTGCCCTGAGATCTTTCCCATCCTCTCTACCTTCTTCCCCTAAGGGTGAGGGCTTAGTCACACTCTACATCAGCGCGACAGGTCTACAAGCCAAGACATCGAGGTTTCTAATCCTGGACTTGTCACAGACTGATGTATGATTGTAAGCAAGTAACTTCAAGTCTGTGTCTTGATTTTGTGATCTATAAAATGAGGGGGTTTGACAAAATGATCTGGTAAGGGCCCTCATGGCTCTGAAGTTCTCTGTAAAGGCAACGCATGGCAGAATGGATTAGAATATTTGGTTAACCTGGAATCAGGGAGACCTGAGTTCCAATACTGCCTCAGACATTTACTAGTTTTGTGATCCTGGGCAAGTTCACTTCACGTCTGTCTGCCTCAGTTTCCCCAACTGTATTATGGGGGTCATAATAACACTTATTCTCGGGGCTGCTGTAAGGATAAAATTTTTAAAGTGCTTAGCATGGTTCCTGGCACACAGTAGGCACTTAATAAATGTTTGTGCCCCCTGTGTTCTAAGGGCCCTCCCAGATCTGATATTTTGTGTTCTGAGTTCTCTCCTATCTGTGACATTCTGTGTCCTAAGGCCCCTCCCAGCTGTGACATTCTCTTTTTTTTTCCAATTATTTATTTATTTATTTGTAGTTTTCAGCATACACTTTCATAAGATTTTGAGTTTTAAATTTTCTCCCCCATCCTCTCCTCCCTCCTCCCCAAGATGGCAGGCAGTCTGATATAGGCTCTGCTTGTACATTCATATTAAGCATATTTTCATATTAGTCATGATGTAAATAGAACTGATGGGAGGAACCACGAGAAAGAAGAAACAAAACGAAACAACAAAAGAAAAGGAGAGCAAATAGTAAGCTTCCATCTGTATTCAGACTCTAGATGTGGATAGCTTTTTCCATCGTGAATCTTGTGGAGTTGTCTTTAATCTTTGCACTGCTGAGAGGATCTAATCTATCAAATTAGTCATTGCACAACACGGCTGTTACTGTGTACAACGTTCTGGTTCTGCTCACTTCGCTCAGCATCAGTTCATGTAAGTCTTTCCAGGTTTTTCTGAAGTCGGCCTGCTCATCATTTCTTATAGCACAATAGTATTCCATTACATTCATATACCACAACTTGTTCAGCCATTCCCCAACTGATGGGCATCTCCTCAATTTCCAATTCTTTGCCACCACAAAAAGAGCTACTATAAATATTTTTGTACATGTGGGTCCTTTTCCCATTTGTATGATCTCTTTGGGGTACAGACCTAAAAGTAGTATTTCTGGGTCAAAGAGTATGCACAATTTTATAGCCCTTTGGGCATAGTTCCCAATTGCACTTCAGAATGGTTGGATCAGTTCACAACTCCACCAACATTAGTGTTCTAATTTTCCCACATCTTCTCTAACATTTATCATTTTCCTGTTTTGTCATGTTAGCCAATCTGATAGGTGTGATGTGGTACCTCAGAGTCATTTTGATTTGCATTTCTCTTATCAATACTGATTTAGAGTATTTTTCATACAACTATATATAGCTTTAATTTCTTCCCCCTGATAACTGCCTGTTCACATCCTTTGACCATTTATCAATTGGGGAATGACTTGTATTCTTATAAATTTGACTCACTTCCCTACATATTTTAGAAATGAGGCCTTTATCAGAAATACTGGCTGTAAAAATTGTTTCCCAGCTTTTGCTTCCTTTCTAATCTTTTTGCATTGGCTTTGTTTGTGTAAAAACTTTTAAATTTAATGTAATCAAAGTCATCTATTTTGCATTTCATAATGTTCTCTGTATCCTCTTTGGTCATAAATTCTTCCCTTCTCCATAGATCTGACAGCTAAACTATTCCTTGCTCTCTTAGTTTGCTTATAGTATCAGCCTTTGTATCTAAATCATGTACCCATTTTGTCTTTATCTTGGTACATGTGTGTAAGATGTTGGTCTATGCCTAGTTTCTGCCACATTATTTTCCAGTTTTCCCAGCAGTTTTTGACATCCTGTGTTCTAAGGGCCCTCCCAGCTCTGGTGTTCTATTTTCCTGAGTCCTCTTCTAACATTCTATCACTCCATGATAGCTCTATCTTCTTAAACTCTTCTCCCTAAATTCGAAATTTTGGGGTTTTTTTGGTTTGGTTTTTAGGGCTGGAGGGTTTGTCTTGTTCCTCTCTGTCTCTCTCTGACACACACACACACACACACACACACACACACAGAGTCTAGAACACAAGGCTGGGCATATGGAAAGTGATTGACAAATACGAGTGGGACAAACAAGAGCAGCACAGATCCGCAATGGGTCTATTGCTCAAGGTCAATGAGGACAGTCTACGCTGGCAGGGCCATCCTTGCCCAAGGGGCAGAGCAGGTGAAGAGTCCTCCTATCCTGAGCTGCCTTCTGCCTCAAAAAAAGGTCATTGACCGGGAGAGTTTCTATCTGTCCCTCTGTCTATCTTCCCTCCCTGCCCTAGGGCCCATTCTTAAGGAAGCTGGCTCCTCCCATGGGAACTGCTGCGGTGGCCGAGAGTGGGCAGGGCCTTGTGGGAGCATCTGCCTGGGGAAGTGCCAGGAATGAAGCCAGGACAGGAGGGCGGGCTCCTGGGCTAGGCCTTCAGACAGGGCTGCTTCAGGTGTTCACCCATGGCCCGTCAGGAGCACAGACACCAGGCCTTGCCCAACTTAGAGTCCTGCAAGACAGAAAGTCCATGAGGCCTCGGACGCAGGATGGCTTGCAAGCCGGGGCATGGCTCCCATGACCCTTCAGCCTGAAGAAACAAAGGTTTCACAGAGTTGGGCATGGAGGGGGAAATGCAGGCTAGAAGTTCGAGGTCCGTCCCTCTTTGGATCCCTCCTCTCCCTGCAAATGAGGTTGGGGGGATTTGTTTCTCACACCCATCCCCTCCTGCCCTGGTTCAAGTCCTCATCCCCTCTCACCTGGCAATGCAAAAGTCTCCTAACTGGTCTCCCAGACTTGCATCTCTCTCCAATGCATCCTTACCCAGGCTTCCAGGGAGTCTACCCATTCCACAGCTCTGATGATGACGCTCCTCTACTCAAGATTTTCAGTGGCTCCCTCCCAGGCACAAGATCCAGTTCTGACTTCTTGGGGCTGCCTTTCAAGGCCCTCCCCTGTCTGGCCCCAAACAACCTTTACTGTTGATTTCGGGCTACTGCTCTGCTTCAGCTAAGCAGGACCGATTTGTCAATGTTTTTGCTCACCATTTCCTTTCTGCCTGGAATGTTCTCTCCTGCTATCATTTCTTATACATCAGGGCTCCCCACTCCAGTGTCCCATGACTCCCAGGAAGCCTTTCCTGAGCCCTCAGGCTAGAAGCGATCCCTGCCTTCCAGATCTCATAACACATGTTCTTGATCAAAACCTGCCTTGTGTTCCAGCTATGCATACCACCGTCTTATCTCTTTCCTGCTAGCTCCTTCAGGGTAGAGGCTGGACATTCATTTCTGTCTCCTGACCAGCACAAAGCCCAGGGCCTTGAACCCAGTAGCTGCCTGCTGAACAAAAGTAATTGTAGTCGTCTGTCTCACTGGGGTGAAAAAGCAATTGTCATTGAGTTGTGTTCTGACTCTTCGTGACCCCATTTGGGGTTTTCTTGGCAGAGATACTGGAGTGGCTTGCCATTTTCTTCTCCAGCTCATTTTACAGATGAGGAAACTGAGGCAAACAGGGCTAAGTGGACTTAATCAGGGTCATACAGGTAGTGTCAGAGTCAGGATTTCAGAGAGACGACTCTTCCTGATTCCAGGACTGGCACTCTATCCACTGTGCCACCTAGCTGCCTTTTGTATTTTAAGGATTCTTCTATTTGAGGAGGCTAGTTTTGGGGGCAGCTAAGTGGCACAGTGGATGGAGCACTGGGCCTGAAGTCATCTTCCTGAATTCAAATCTGGCCTCAGACACTTACTAGCTGTGTGACCCTGGGCAAGTCACTTCATTCTGTTTGCTTTAGTTTCCTCTTCTGTAAAATAAGCTGGAGAAGGAAATGGTAAAATATCCCAGCCCCTCTCCCAAGAAAACACCAAATAGGGTCAAGAAGAGTCGGGCATGACTGAAATAACTCAACGACAAAAATAGAACACAAAATGTCATATGACGGATGGATGTGGAGTTTCTACAGCATTGGAGGTTTGAAAAGAAAGGCTCCCAAAAGTCTGTGGCAGAAGCAGGTGAGAGGGGAAAAGAGAGAAACCACAAGAAACAACAGCTTGTTGAGACCTTTCTGAAGCTGGTGAGTTAGACATGGGGCAGCTGGGTGGTGGGTGTGGCTTGATGCCTGGATAAGAGACCGAATGATGGCATGAGAAGGTGATGGGACGCTATCGTGCTGTAAGAAATGAGGAAGGGGATGGTTTCAGAGAAACCTGGGGAAGACTTGCATGAATGGACACAGAGCAAAATGAGCAGCTCCAGGAGAACAATTTATACAATGATGATAATTTGGTAAAGATAAACAATTTTGAAAGATTGAAGAACTCTGACAGAGGCTATGACCAACCAGGATTCCTGAGGACTCATGATGAAACATACTAGCCTCCTCCTGAGAGACAAACAATGGGCTCAGGGTATAGACTCAAACAAATATTTTTTTTGGATGTGGCCAATGTGGGAATTTGTTTGGCTGCACTATGCATATTTGTCACAAGAGTTTTTCTTAAAAAAAAAAAAAGAGTTTTTCTTTCTTTTTCAGTAAGAGGCAGGAGAGGACATAAATTTTTGTTAATTGCAAAAAAAAAAAAAATTTAATTTTTTAAAAAAGATCAGATATGAGACTGTGTAGATAAGATAGCATATCCAGACAAACTCTAGCATGCTGCCTAGACTCCAAAGGTTTCTGGATTCTCACCCCCAGAGCAGTTGAGCTGAACTGGACCTTCTTCTTTCTTGGGCCAGAAAGGGACCTGAGCTGAACTGGACTCTCTTTTCTCTTGGGCCAGAAAGGGAAGGGGAGCTGAGGAGGCAGTATCGCCTCCAACACCAGCAGTACGTGATTAAACTGACTGCCTTCTTTCTCCAGATGTTCCAGACACAGAGGGCATAGAATGAGGAATTGACTCACAGTCTCCCTTGGAGGCATGGGAGGTGGCTATGCAGGTATCAGTGCCAAAAACATTTGCTGTTTCATCTAATTCCTTGTTATTATTCCTTGCTATAACCCGTCTTTCCGCTCAGAGATGCGTCACAGAAAGGCAGAAGGACAGAAAGTTGGAGAGCGCAGGTGGGCCAGGCACCATGGTCATGGGGGGCTGGACTCCATCTTGCTCAGGGAGCAGAGTGATGGTGGGTCTTGATTTCTTGAGGAGCAGCCATGAGTGGGGGACACTGAGGCAGAGAAGGGTGAGGAGGCGCCACTGCAGGGACCAGGCCTGGCCAGAGACGACCAATTATCACGTCCCAGGCGTGTTGCCTATGTGATGCCCATGGGTAGAAGCCCCCTTTCCTACTGGAAGCTCAGACTGTGGAAACCACTACACATTTCCCATTTGCTTTTCTGACCAATTGCTTCCCATCACCCTAACAAGATTGTGAGGAGGGTGATGCAGTAGGCAAGGAGGGGAAAGGGGACTTAAGGATGATCCCTCCCCCATCCCAAAGACTGCAGCCTACAATCATTGGGAGCTGTGGACCTGAAAGTTGGTTAAAGAGACAACAAGCTAGGGGATAAGTAAATCTATGTTGTTTATTCCCTTAAGTTAGCAACATGTACATGGAGCCAGAGCTTTAACTCTGACTGAATCAAACAATTTTAAGAGGACATTTAAACTCTGACTCAGGATGTCTGTGTTACTCAGATTTATGGTCTCCATATATGTTTAACCATAGCATGAGAAAGGATTTTTCTTAATTGAATAGGTTGTAAATACAATAATATAGGAGAATGTCAAAGTATAAATTATAGATCCAGGATATCTGTGTTTATACAACATAGCATATGTCCATAAAATACCAAGATAAGGAAAGGCCCATTATTCAAGGTAGTGTCCGGGTTAAGGCGCTGCAGTGATCATAAACAGAAGAATGCTCTTGGTCAGCTTCAGCTGTTGACAGAGGAAGGGGCATTCTTAGCTCACTCAGGAAGAAAAGATTAATTCAGGTTTTTGGCCCTCACTGGGGCTGGACTGATCTTAAATGATTATCAGAGCCCATTTCTTTAAATGTTTATTTGTATTTCTAAGCTCTTATTAAACTGTGTTGTTGCTGTTGTTGCTGTCCAACCCTTCCTGAGCCCTTTTGGGGTTTTCTTAGCAAAGATACAAGAGTGGTTTGCCATTTCCTTCTCTGGCTCATTTTATAGATGAGGAAACTGAGGCAAACAGGGTTAAGCGACTTGCCCAGGATCACACAGCTAGTAAGTATCTGAGGCCATACCTATTTAATATAGTGTGTCCAAGTTCTGGTGTGTGAGGCTTCAGAGTGGGAAAGAGGGATTTAACCTTAACAGACACTTTTCCTTAGCTTAAGCTGGAGTGAGAGAGAGAGAGAGAGAGAGAGAGAGAGAGAGAGAGAGAGAGAGCATTTTTGATTCTAAATAATTTTCCAGAGTATATATGTATACATTCCATACCTTCCGGATAGATTTTTTTTGTTTTGTTTTGTTTTCTTTTCTTTTTTGGTGAGGCAATCAGAGTTAAGTGACTTGCTCAGGGTCACACAGCTAGTAAGTGTCAAGTGTCTGAGGCTGGATTTGAACTCGGGTCCTTCTGACTTCAAGGCCAGAGCTCTATCTACTGCGTCATCTAGCAGTCCCCAGATAGATTTTTTTGAATGGAGCGTGAGAACAGCTAGCTGTGAAATGAGCTGTAGAGGCATCGTGTTGGGAGGGAAAGAACAAGCATTTATTAAGCACCTACTGTGTGCCAGACGCTATGCTAAGTGCTTTACAAATATCAACTCATTTGATCCTTGCAGCCCGGGGAAGTAGATGCTATTATTATCTCCATTATTCCTTAGTGGAGAAACTGAGGCAGACAGAGGTTACTCAGGGTCATACAGCTAGGAAGTGTCTGAGGCTGCATCAAGTCTTCTTGATGCCAATCCCAGCCCTTTATCCCCCATACCATCTTTATGTAAAGGAACGGCTGCTACAAATTTTACCTGAAGGCAAAATTTTTTAACACATCAGGAGGAAGCAGCTGCTGCTTCTAGCTCTGTCTCTGGAGTTAGAAAGTTACTGGTATGCAGATGTCCTTCTCGCAGCCCTGAGCTGAGCAAAGTCCAGACAGTCACCTCCGGGCCCTTTACAGATGACCCCCTAATGCTAGCCTCTATTACACAGAGGGGTTTGAGGGGCTGATTCGAAACTCCAGATGCACACTCTCCCTTTGGGAGCTTGGCAAGCTTCTCCTGCCAAGTGGTGTTGTTATAAGAAGCTCCTTCCACTGGGCAATTGGCACAGACTCGGGACCCTCCCGGTCTCTCAACTTGGGAGGTTACCTCTAGGGCTGGAAACTTTCATTTCTCAGGATGGCTGTTTGTGGCTGGGGTTCAAAGAAGGAAACGCAAAATACAAGAAGGAGTGAGGGACTAGATGTCAGTCTCAGGTTCCATACCCCTGACCTAGACAAACCCACGTTCTCATTTCCACTGCTTATAATCAGAGCTGTTGGAGAGTATGGAAGGGAGGGCAAAGAAATCCTCTCTCCCTTGCTGGGAGTCCAAGGAAGAAATGGATCCCAAACCAGGCAGGGGCCAAAAGACAGGGAGGTATTACTTTTAGTTTTGTAATAATTCTGTATTGATATATTCTGTTTCTTGTTGTTGTTCAAGTCATTTTATTGTGTCCAACTCTTCATGACCCCATTTGGGGTTTTCTTGACAAAGATACCAGATTGGTTTGCCATTTCCTTCTCTAGCTCATTTTACAGATGAGGAAACTGAGGCAGACAGGGTTAAGCGACTTGCCCAGGTCACATAGCTAGTAAGTGTCTGAGGCCAGATTTGAACTCAGGAAGAGAAGTCTTCCTGACTCCAGACCTGGCTCCCTATCCACTGCACCTCCTAGCTGCCTCAGCACCTTCCTTATATCACTGCAGTTATCCCAAAATATCCCTCCCCTTCCCCTTCCCAGAGAGCAATCCCATATGACAAATAATATTTTTTTAGAGGGGAAAAATATCAGCACAATTGATCAATACATTGGAAAAGTCTGAAAACATGTGCAGTGTGTCACACCTTTGGACCTCCATCTCCACAAAGTAGTAGGTTGGACTTGCTCTTCATAATTTTGTCAATCCACTTTTGATTTGTGGTGTGTGGTTGTTTTTTCCATTTGCGTTGTTGTAGTTACTGCATATATTATTTTCTTGGCTCTGCTTAATTGGCTTGAGGCAGAACTTTTCTCTAGCTCTTGCAGCCAACTGGAAGGAGCAGCTTTTCCTGACTCAGTTGCCACTCATCTTAAACACAACTCTCCCCACCTCCCAGACAGGAAAGGTTCAACGAGGAGCCCTAGACCACCCAAGGCCTTTCACAAGGGGCCAGAAGGTCATGCAGCCAATTGGAAGAGGCCAACGTGTATGCGTAGCTCTATAGGAAGTGCCTCAGTCACTGGGACTGACTTTCCCAGATTGGCCGTATTCCATCGTCATCCTATTTCGTCCAGTGCTTCCATTTTGAAAGCAGGTAGGTGTCATCTGGCCTAATCCATTCAAGTGGAACATCTTATGGAGGCCCATGGGCTGTAGTTTTGAATGGGTACTGACCCAAAGTCAGTATCTGAATATAGCTGGAATCTGAGTAGAGCTTTCAGGGGGACAGATTGAAGATACATTTAGAACAGAGAATTCAATTCAATTCCATAACAATGATTAAGCACCTACTACATAAAATAATACATTGTGCTAGGAATATAAAGAGAAAGATGGAACTATCCGTTCCTTCAAGGGATTGTCAATCAGGGATATAAATGTGAGGGGTAAAGAGCAGACTGCTCCTGGAAAAGGGGAAAGGTGGAAAGGAAAAGGAAATGTGTTCCTGAGCTGAGCCTCGAAAGGACAGAATATTCACCTTGCTCAGTGAGAATCCACTTCACACACATGCTCCGTCCCTCCCTGACCCAAGATGGGGAGGTGAGTTACAGCTGGTTGTCATTGTTGTCCTGGCTGCTGGAGGAGGCTCTGAAGTCATCACCCATTCTGGGGGTCCCCAGCTCTGAAGGCACCAGTCCATAGCCCTTGGCCACAATGGGTACATTCTCCCCATGATGAAATCAAATGAGATAGTGTTTGTAAAGCACTTAGCATAGTACCTGGCACTTAGTAGGTGCTTAATAAATGCTTGTTCCCTTCTCTCTCCTCCCCTCTTCAAGATCTCTCCTCACCCTCTCCTCTTCCTCCAGAAGATTTTCCCAGGGCTCCCTAAGGAAAGTCAAAACTGAAGTATGAGAAAGAAAGGAAAGAAAGAAAAGGAAAGGAAGGGAAGGAAGGGAAGGGAGAGAAAGAAAGGAAGGAAGGGAAGGAAGGGAAGGGAGAAAGAGAGAAAGAGAGAGAGAGAGAGAGAGAGAGAGAGAGAGAGAGAGAGAAGAGAGAGAAGAGAGAAGAAAGAGAGAGAAAAAAGAAAGAAGGAAGAAAGAAAGAAAGAAAGAAAGAAAGAAAGAAAGAAAGAAAGAAAGAAAGAAAGAAAGAAAGAAGAAAGAAGGGAGAAAGAAAGAGGAAAGAAGGGAGAAAGAAAGAGGAAAGAAGGGCAAGAGGGAAAGGAAGAGGAAGGAAGGGAGAAAGAGAGAGAGAGAGAGAGAAAGGGAGAAAGAGAGAGAGAGAGAGAGAGAGAGAGAGAGAGAGAGAGAGAGAGAGAGAGAGAGAGAGAGAGAGAAAGAAAGAAAGAAAGAAAGAAAGAAAGAAAGAAAGAAAGAAAGGAAGGAAGGAAGGAAGAAAGAGAAAGAAGGAAAGAAAGAAGGGAGAAAGAAAGAGGAAAGAAGGGAGAGAGGGAAAGAAAGAAGGAAGGAGGAGAGAAAGAACAAAAAGAAAGAAAGAGAAAGGAAAGAAGGAGAAGAAGGAAAGAAGGGAGGAAGGAAGGGTTATTGATGGGAGCAAAGAAACTCCCCATTGATCCCTTAAGCACTCTATGCTCCAGACAAATTGGCCTCCTTCACAGGACCATGGATTTAAAGCTGGAGGGGACCATAGAATTCACTGAGTTTCCCCGTCTTCTCATTTTACAGGTGTGGAAACTGAGGCACAAAGTGGTTACATTATTTGCCCATAGTCACAGAGGTAGTCAAGTGTCTAAGGCAGGATTTGAACTGGAGTCTTCCTGACTCCAAGTACAACAGCTACCTTCAAGACAACCATCCAGCTGTTCCCATTACTCTGTGTTTCATTTCCCACCTCCTTGTCTTTGCACAGGCTGTTCCTCATGCCTGGAATGCTATACCTCTTTACCTCCAACTCACAGAATCCCTGATGTTGTTGTTCAGTTGTTTCAGTTGTGTCCAACTCTTCATGACCCCACTTTGATTTTTCTTGGCAAAAACTGGAGTGGTTTGCCATTTCCTTCTCCAGCTCATTTTACAGACAAGGAAACTGAAGCAAACAGGGATAAGTAAATGACTTACCCAGGGTCACACAGCTAGTAAGTATCTGAGGCCAGATTTGAACTCAAGAAGAGAAGTCTTCCTGACTCCAGGCCTGGCACTCTATTCACTGGACCACCCAGCTGCCCCCACAGAATCCTTGGCTTTTTTCAAATTACAACTCAGGTACCATCTCCTATACCAGGCTATTCCTGGTCACCCCAAATATTAGTCGTCTTTTCCCACCCCCACATTATTATTATTATTTTTTTAGGCAACTGGGGTTAAGTGACGTGCCCATGGTCACACAGCTAGTAAGTGTCAAGTATTTGGTCTGAGGCCGGATTTGAACTCAGGTCCTCCTGGCTTCAGGGCCAGTGCTCTATCCACTGTGCCACCTAGCTGCCCCATCTGCCCCCATATTATTTTGTCTGTATTTTGTGTGTTGTGTGTGTGTGTGTGTATACTTGTTTCCCCCCAGTAAAATGTAAGCTCCTTGAGGGTACAGACTGTTCTGATCTTGACTTCATCTTTCTAGCATCTAGCCTGGCTCAGAACTTGGCACAATACACATTTGTTGAATTGGATAACAGCTCTCATGTCCACAAGCTTTCAATAAAATGCTTTCCTCACAACAGCCCTAGGTAAGGGGAGGATTATTAGTCCCATTTTACAGGTGTGGACACTGAGGTTCAAGAAAAAAAGCTTTTGTAACTTGCTCAAAGTCACATTGCCAGCATCAGCTGGGACTGTAACTCAGATGATGAAAATCAGGAGAATTCTAAGAGTATATGTATAACCTTAAGACAAGGAAGTTAGACCAGATGGCTTCCAAGGTGGCTTCTGACTCAAGGTCCAAAATCCTAAAAGCATAAGTCCTTTACACACATCATCTCATGCGAGCATCGCAGCCCTGAGAAAGCTGTTTGTCCTTTGTTCTTCAAGAGGACCAAAATAACACCACTACACTGGGGTCAACGTATAATGTGTGGGGTTGTAGCTGATCAGACTGACATGAGCTTGGAAAGCTCTACCACAGGTTGGGCACAAATAGTCTATATGACCATTCAAGAGGGAGATGGCTCTAAATTTGTGCATCTCACATTTCTTTTGAGCTTCTGCAATTCTGCTTTGCTAACAGAGCATATCACCTTCTTTGATGCGGGCACACCATTCTGGGCAGTCCTGTGCCAGAGTCTCCCATATCTTATGAAGGATTCTAAAGCTCTTCAGTGAGACCTTGAGAGTGTCCTTATATGGCTTCTTCTGCCCTCCCTGTGAGCGCTTGCTTTGGGTGAGTTCCCCGTAAAATAGTCTTTTAGGCAAATGTATATTTGGCGTTCAAACAACATGGCCAACCTAAGGGAGTTGCACTGTGCAGTAGAGTCTGAATGCCTGACAGTTCAGCTTCAGAAAGGACTCAGTGTCCAAATACCTTATCTTGCCTATCAGAATCTTCCTAAGACAATTCAAATGGAAGTGATTCAGTTTACTGACATGGTACTGGTAATCTGTCCAGGTTTCACAAGCATATAACAATGAGGTCAGCACAAGGACTCCATAGACCTTCAGTGTGGAAGGCAGCCTAGTACCTCTTCTCTCCCACACATTCTTTCCAAGACTCCCAAACGCTGAGTTAGCTTTGGCAATGTGTGCATCAACCTTATCATCAGAAGGTAGATGGTGGATGCAAGAAGTATTATCCCCATTAGACAGATGAGAAGACTAAGACCCAGAAAGGTACCTTGCTGCAGGTCACATAATTGAACTGGGGCTTGAAACTAGAGCTTCTGCCTCCAAAGCCAGTGCTGGGAAGAAGGCTCCCTCTCTAATCCTGATACAGCTGAACCTAATTAGACATGGAGCTGTAAGATACCTTGGACAGCATCTAGTCCAACCTCATTTTAGAGATGCGAAAACAGAGACTTACCAAACGAGCTATCTCATGGACATCTCATACTCAACATGGACATGAACTCATGATCTTTCCCACCAAATCCTCCCCTCTTCCTAACTTTCTCTGAACTCCAAGATCAAGTATAAATTCCTCCATCTGGCTTTTAAAGTCTTTTATAAACTGGCTTCTTCTTGTCTTTCCAGTCTCATTCCTCATACGTTAACTCTCTCCTCCCCCCACTACCTCCTCATACTCTGCCATCCAATGACCATGGCTCCCATGCTCTTCTTCCCACTGCATACTCCTATCTCCGTACTCTAGGCATTTTCACTTGCTTTTCCCTATGCCTGGAGCTCTTTCCCTCATCTCTGCCTCCTGGCTTTCCTGACTTCCTTCAAGTCCCAGCTAAAATCTCACCTTTAGCCTGAAGCCTGTCTTTTGTTGTGGTTCAATTATTTCAGTCTGTCCCACTCTTTGTGATTGCCTTTGAATTTTCTTGGCAGAAACACTGGAATGGCTTGCCATTTCTTTCTCTAGCTCATTTTACAGATGGGATAACTGAGGCAAGCAGGGTTAAGTGACTTGCCCAGGATCATAGCTAGCAAGTGACTTGAGACTGGATTTGAACTCAGGTCTTCCTGACACCAGGCTGGGCACTCTACACACTGCACCACCTGGCTGTTCCTGGTCTGCTTTAATGCTAGTGCCTTCTCTCTCTTGCTTGTCTCCAATTTATCCTGTTTTATCTTATTTTTACATCAGTTTGCATGTTGTATTCCTCATCAGACTGTGAATTCCTTGAGAGCTGGGACGATCACTTATGGTTCTTTGTATCCCTGGGGCTTAACACACTGCCTAGCACATAGTAGGTGCTTAACAGAGGTTTGTTGACTGAGTTGAAGTGACTTGCTGAAAATCACATGCTAGCTAGGATGCAATCACAATTCTTTCCACTCCAGATTAGGTATTCTTTTCACTGAGTCTCCCTCTCTTCAATGAGCTGGCTGTGGAAATTCATTCAATATCAATTAGAATCAGAATTAGGAGGGGAAACGGTCAAATGTTGCATCCCAAAGCCCACAGAATGTTTTGATTATTCAGACTTTGGACCACTATTCCCCTGCTGTCATTAGTTGAGGAAATCAAAAGCTTCCTGAAGTTAATGATCATTAATGATTCCACTCTGCACTCACACACTTTGCTCAGTCTCCCCTCCTCACTGCCACCCCCACCTCCATTTCTGAAGAGGTGCTGACACTGGAGATTCAGACAAATAATGAAACCATTAGCTTTGGAAACAGGAGAGTAAACACAAGTATGATTCACAGATTCAGGAGTTTGCTAATTGCTCTTCCCTGCCCAAATGGAAGTGAGGAAAGAGAAAAAAGGAAGATGAATCTTTTGGTTTTCATCTACCTCTAAGACTGTTTTATGACCAAGAGTCTCCAAACCTGCCTGAACACCTTGTAGGAGCAGGGTTCTGTTCTCTGACAGTAAGTAAGACAGGGTCCCTGGCCCCAATCTAGCTCTAACACTATTATAGCCAACATTTCAATATCTGCTTTGTTGGTCATTCCGTTAACAGGGCCCCCTCATTTGAAATAGGTCGGGCAAACATTGTTATCTCCATTTTCCACTTTATCATCCCTCTGAGGCTCCAGAGGCAGCGTGATATAGTAACAGTGGGGCAGAAGAACTGGGTTCAAATCCCACTGTGTAGTAGCTGCGTCATTCTGGGCAAATCACTAAACCAACATGTCCCTGTTATGGGATCACAGAGTTAGCAACGGAAAGGACCTTGAAAGTCACAGCACGAGAGATTTGGAGCTGCAAGGGACCTCAGGGCCATCTAGTCCAAACCCCCTCCCCCCATTTTGTAGTTGAGAAAACTGAAGCTCAGAGGGGTTACCAGGCCTTATGGGTAGTAAGTGGCAGAGTCAGAATGCCTCAGGCACTTCCTAGAGCCTACTGACTAGGAAGGACTAAAACAGGTTCTAATCTGCCTCAATCTGCTGAGCTGCCTAGGTAAACTGGGCTCCCAAACCTGAAATTCCCCTACATAGCTAGAAATTATTTTACAGATATAATTACTGATTATTCCTACGTTAACACACAAATCAGAAACATGGCACTCAGTGACGTCAAGTGACTTGCCCAATGACCCACGGCTAAAAAAGGAAGAAGAACTGAGACTCAAATGCAAGCCTCCTGACTTCCAGTCCAGGGCTGTTTCCACTATAAAGGACAAACACAAAATAGACCATGGCAAATTCACAGGAGAGGAACAAACCTGGTCCAGTGGACTCTAAGTCAGGAGACCTGAGTTATAGTCTGCCTGCTACCACTCCAGTCTGCGAGCCAGCCCCTCCAGAGACCAGCTTGGGAGAGGCTAAGCCACCGTGGGCTTTGTGTCTGATGGACCATCCTAGCCAATTTCTGCTAGGCCACCCTGCGGGTTTGACTAGCTACCACTAAGCTTTTGAGAACTGAAATCAAACTACCACTACCACTGCCTCTGGAAATGGCTGACCCAGGAACTGCTCTATTGTTCTACTCAACATCAATTCCCTTCCCTAGCCACCATTTGTAATCTCTGTTGTGCAGGCTGCCCCATCAGATTGGAAGCCTCTTGCAGGCAGGTACTAGCTCCTTGTATTCCACATAGTAAGTACTTAATATATGACTAACTGACTTCCTTCCTTCCTTCCCTTCTCCCCTCCCTCTCCCTTCCTCTTTCCCGTCCTCTCCTCTTTCCCCTCCCTCCCTCCTTCTTCCCTTCCTCCCTTCCATCTTTTTCTCTTAAAAACCAGCCTTAACCTCAAATCACTCTGGTCCCAGACCAAGTCCTACTTGGTCATTGTTTGGGCCTCACTTGGCTCAGAATGAATGCAAATGATAATTGTTTCTGTTTTGGCCAGAAACCCCAAGGGTCTTCCCCTCCCAGATCAGGTTGGTTGGTGGTTGTTAGCCTTCATTCTTGAAGAGAAGCAAAATTACATCACTATGCTAGAGTCAAGTTACAGTGCTTCCGACTGTGGCTGATCAGACCAACACGAGCTCTGAATGCTCCACCACAGGTCGGGCACAAATAGTCCATGTGCACATTTGGGGTGGATTCTCTAAATCTGCATACCTCCCATTTCTTTTGAGCTACTTCAATTCTGCTTTACCCATAGAGCACCGTCTCTGATGAGGGCACGCCATGGGTGGTGCTGTGCCAGTGTCTCCATGTCACACAATCAATTCTAAAGTTCTTGAGAGACCTTGAGAATATTCTTGTATCGATTTTTCTGACCACCATGTGGTCACTTGCCTGTGTGTGTTCTCCATAAAATAGTCTTTTTGGCAAGTGTACGTTTCATATTCAAACAATGTGGCCAGCCCATCAAAGTTGCAGTCTTTGAAGTAGAGTTTGAATGCTTAGCAGGTTAGTTGGAGAAAGGACCTCAGTGTCTGGTACCTCATCCTGCCAGGTGATCTTCAGAATCTTCTGAAGACAATTCAAATCCCAGATCTATTTTTTTTTAAAGAGGCCATTCTTTGACTCATTTCTTACCTAGCCAAATCACTGAATGGGCGCTACCTCCGTGAAACTGACACCTGTTAAAGACCTTAGCTTGAAAAGGCCAAGGTCCCCCACTGCATCCTGGGCCATCTCCAGTTGTCCTGAACCTAGTCTGGCCACAGGACCCAGTTAGCTCTGGAGGAGAGAATGAGGCTGGTGACCTTGCACTGCCCTCCCTCACTTCAATCCAATTCACTTGCATATCAAGGCATCACTTCCCTGATGTCATGGTCCTCTTCCAGAACAAAGGACAGACAGCAGCGACTCACACTGCACAAGGGTGGTACATTGGAAATAGCAGTGGCTCTGAAATCAGAAGACATAGGTTCCAATCCCTCCTCCTGTATGATCTTGGGCTAGTCACTTTTCGGGACCTCAGTTTCCTTGCCTGTAATATGAGAGTCAGGCCAGGATGACCCCTGAGGTCCTGCCTAGCTCTGGATCTATGAGCCTGAGATCCTCTATCACTTGCCCTCTCTGGGCTTTAAATCTCTTCATCTTTTCAGTGAGGGAGTTGGACTAGATAATCTCTAAAGTCCTTCCAAACTCTAGGTCTGAGAAGTTTGTCGAGGGGGTATAGAAGATATTAAGTAAATCATTACATTGTAATGATGAAATATTCCAAAAGCTGTAATGTTAGTGAAAATATTTTTGGATTGGAGACAGAGAAAGAGAGAGAGAAGAAAAAGAAGGAGGAAGACGAGGAGGAGGGAGGAAGCAGAAAGGAGGAAGAGGAGAAGGAGAAGAAGAAAAAGAGAAGGAGGAGACAAAGATGGAGGAGGAGGAAAAGGAGGAAGAGGAGGAGGAGGAGGAGGAAGAGACAGAAGAGGGTGGGGAGGATGTCTAAAATGGGTGAATGAGACAAATGAATTTATTCCAACTGACCAAATGAATGAAGTCTGGCTATGAAATTCTTTCCGTAATGAGCTGGAAAAAATCAGCAACAATGACCCAGGGAAAGATGCCATAATTGATCTTCATGAAATCAAGAAACTCCAAAGTCATTTCCATTAAATGCAGCTACAATGTTCAGTGTACCATTGGTGAAACATGTCTCATTTTAATTCACTGAGGCTTTGATTACACTTCTTACAACTTCTCTCTATGAATCAAGATTCTCAGTTTTTTTGTTATTCAAATCCAAAGCAAGAAACAATTGGAAAGTTGACCTACAAAGAGGGTAACTGTGGATTGACATGAAAAAGAGTAACATGAATTTATTTGACTGTGTTCTAATATATAAACATATAACAATTTTATGGCTAGGTGGCACAGTAGATAGAGTGCTGGGCCTGAAGTCAGGAAGACTCCTCTTCATGAATTCAAATCCAGCCTCAGACACTTGCTAGCTGTGTGACCCTGGGCAAGTCACTTTTTGCCTCAGTTTCTTCATCTGTAAAATGAGCTGGAGAAGGAAATAACAAACCACTCTAGTATCTTTGCCAAGAAAAAACCCTAAATGCGGTCATGAAGAATTGGACACAACTAAAACAATAACAAAAAACAACTTTATGACACCAAAAATATTTTTATGTATCCAATAAAGTCTTCTTTATGAAAAATGAAACTCTTTATTGAGATTCTTAAGTGCATGTGCATGGTAAAGGAACGTTAGAAGTCAAATCAATAAGCATTTATTTATTTTTTTGTTTGTTTTGTATTTTTTTGCTTGAGGCAGTTGGGGTTAAGTGACTTGCCCAGAGTCACGCAGCTAGTAAGTATTATGTGTCTAAGGCCAGATTTGAACTCAGGTCCTCCTGACTCCAGGGCAGGTGCTCTATCCACTGTGCCACCTAGCTGCCCCAACAAGCATTTATTAAACACCTACTGTGTGCTAGTCACTGTGCTAAGCACCAGGGCTACAAAAAGAAACCCAAAAAAAAGTTCTCAAGGACCTCACATTGGAATGGAGGAAAGAACATGCAAACAATGATGTACAAACAAGATATAACCAGATTG